TCACAGATAGTTTCCAAGTGCATTGGCTCCTCCCTGACAAAGGCTACTCAGCTTCCAAGACCAGAAAATTCTTGCTGTTGTCCTCTTGTTCCTCCTCATAGCCAACTCTTCTTTCTGCAGCTCCACAGCCAGTGGCCCCCACACTGACCTCAGTGTGTCTCTGCAAATGCAGAGATTCACAAAGCAACAATGTGGAAACTTGTCAGTTCACCTGCAGAACAACTCAATTCTCATTTGAAGGGAGGAGCATCCTGTGCCCAGCCTGAGCTGAAGGGAGTGGCATGATGTTACCATTGGTAGAAAACTGGGTAAAGGGCTCAAGGGCTTTTTGTCTATATTTTCTCTATATTATTTCTTAAAACTGCATATGAATGTACAATAATATCAAAATTAAAAGTTTAATTTAAAAAATAACTAGTTAAATGAATGGACATAGATGAACCCCTAACTCACAGTCTTAAAAGAAGAAGATCCCCCAGATTTTTAAACAGTATATATACCGTACCTTATAGTAAAACTATAAGGAAAAGCAAGGAATTAAGGTGAATTTTAGGATAGTATTGAGAGGGAAGAGGTGGAAGAGGAAATGTCATCAACATAAGACACCCAGAGGGCCTTAAAGGTACTAAACAAAATATTCTGACTTAAAGTGGGGAAGTGAGAAATGCAGGAATTCATTTAAACATTATTCTTTAAACTACACATAAATGTTTTTATATTTTGCTTTGTATGTATGACATATTTAAAAATAAAAAGATAAATTTTAACTCTCCAAAGAACAAAAAGACCCAGGGTCTGAAAGAAACTGATCAAGAACTTTATAATGTTGCCAAAATGAGGTCAATAAGACCTTAGGCAAAAATTTAAAATATAACCCATTAGAACCCAAAAATAGAAAATATAACCCAAGAGAATCAATCTCTTTCTTTCTCTCTGTCTGTCTGCCTTCACTGGTAAAAATTTTGCTGACTAGAAAAAATTCTGTAGGAGTGAGGAGCACTAGAACTTATCTATAAATGACATTTGAGAGAAATACTCTTTCCCCCTGCCCATCCTGCTTGCCAGAGCAGTACTGATTTAGCACACTTTCCTGTCCAAAGTTGAAAGGTTAAAAATAAAGCCTACCTCTCTGGAAGCTGGCATTCTATTAGCTTGGTGTTCAAGGTAGCCATTGAACAGAAGGCTGTTGAATGTCAGAGAGTGTTCAACGGGGCTGATGGGCCATCCTGTGCCAGGTGAGCAGCTTCTCCCACCCACGACCTGCCTTTCCCTATGTGTACGTCCATCACAGGGCTGTTCGTTATGCCCTGTGCAGCAGCTCCATATTTCTTATTTGCTTCACTCTTTACGTGCCTCAAATAGCTCACTTTTTCCTGAGGCCTTGCTTAGCCAAGTTCTCTGCATTTGGTTCCTTTGATCTTTCTGCTAAAATCAATCTCTTCTCTAATTATCTTCTGTTCCACTTCTTTGAACCTCTTCCAGTTGCCTCCATTTTTCAAGGAGTCAGGTGTTTAATAAAGAATCTCGATGAGAGTCAGGCAGAATCAAGTAACGCCCATGCCGGCTCCCAGGTAGAGTGTTGAATCAAGTAAATGCCCCTGCCTGCTTCTAGGTAAAGTGACTTCTTTAAGCAGAGGAGATGGTTTACTAAAAATTCCAGAGCCCAGACAGTTTCCTACTATGACAGATGCATAGTAACAATCACCAAATGGAGGAATTAATTGACATCTCTGTTAAACGGGTTAGGCCATATTCTAACTTGTACTTCATTTGCTTTCCCATTTTGCCCTCAGCCCAAGTCTCTTTCTGCTTTCAGGCTTTTCACTGAAGTCTAGTAGTTTATTTCATAGCTTATTTCATCAGTGCTTTTGTTTACACATTTTAAAATTGAATTTCCTGCTCACATATTTAACCCCACTAGTTTAATTCACATCGTGGGATTTTGCTAGTAACCTTGTTTGCTAGATTACCATTATTTAGAATTATTCTATTTTATCTTCTCCAAATGACTCATAGTCATGTTAATGTTGTCTTATTTTTTATTTCTCTTTATTAGAGAGTAGACTTTGCCTCTATATTTGTTACTTTCAGTGTTTGTCTAATTAGTCACAGTGCAAGGTTTATCATATCCTATGATTCTGACACAGGTTTGGGCTGAGAAGAATAAAGACCACTGTCTTAAAATGATATATCTCAGACTTGCTTCAGAATAATCTAGTGGGGGTGAGAGGAACATAATAGGTGAAATAAAATTGCCACGGGTTGATAGTCTCTAGAGTGAGGTCATAGGTACATGGGGTTCATTGTTCTATGCAATTATGTAAATGCCTGGAATGTTTCCATAATGAAAATTATTTTTTAAAAAACAAAAAATATAGATCAATAGATAGAAAATTAGTCCCTATGAATTCTTCCTTTAGGATTTACAGAAGGGGATTTCCTCCATCCTCCTCTAGCTGATCCTATCATGTCTTTTCATCTATTGGTGGTCCAGCCATTTCTTTACATTCATTGAGAAGTTTAGCACTTGCTTCTTCTCTTCCTTTCTTTTAAAACCCCACTTCTCTTGTGGGAGATTACATTGAGATTACTGGATGTGTGGCTTACCCAGGGCTTCATATCCACAACACTAATCATCTCCATTCTCACTCCCTTCCAGTCACCACCACTCCTTGATTAGACTCTAAATCATTTTTTAAATGGTACATATCTATACTGCTGACTGACTGGCACTCTGGATAAAGCCTTTAGGTTATGTTTTGATATAAAATTTAGTTTTTCTCAGCATCAGTCAACACATAAAACATATATAATCCAGCCATTTCTGTCTTAAAATCCTTCAGATCTCTTTATCAATTTCAGGTTTAAAGTCAAGTTCAATATCCTTCATATCTACTCTTGCTTTTCCTACCATTTCCAGCCTCTTTCCCTATATCCTCCAATATTCACTCTCTTTCCAGGCATTCTATACCAAACTGCCTTGTCTTGGTTCGTGGGAGACGAACCATGTTTTCTTATATCTCCAAACTTTTGACCATACTGTTCCCCAAAGTTGGAATATCCTCTGTCTTTCAGCCTTTGGGGAACTTCAGCAACTTTCTTTTATACCTCAAGACCCAATTCAAGCATGATTCATTTGGGAAGGCTTCCTTGAGCTGTCCACATTGAGTTAAACACCTCTCCAGCACCTCTTCCGTAGCACTCTTTGTCTATGTCTACCCTAATACTTTGAAACCCAACTGTTAACCATGAGTATTCTTTGTTTCCTTTCTGGGCCATGAACTCTTTGACCTCTTTCAGCTCTCTCTCCCCACAACCCAACCTAGTGCCTGACATATAGTAGATGTTTGGATGAAAGAGGAGCTGAATGAACAGAGAAATGGATAAATGAATACTATGTCATCTCCTTAAGGTAGCACCTTCCTACCAAGGGCCATCTCTAGAAGTTTGGGCCAACAATCTTGGACCTGCAAAGCTCCTCCAGTCTTAGCCTCTTAATTTCTCTGCTTATCACCTGATGCATCTGGCTCCAGCTATATAATGCATTCTTCCTTTTCTCTGTGAGTTCTTCCTATTTAATGCTTTATCTATATAAGTGTTTTCCAAATGTGGGAGAAGATAATTTTTAAGTGGTACTCAGATAAATGTCTTTTGGCAGTCTTCTATGTACATTCATTAATATTTGGGGGAAAACTTAGCACATAAGACCTGTGATTTCATGCAGAATGTTGCTTAGGATGAGACAAATATAGGTATGGCCAGGGTAATCAACCTTACCCTAATGTCATAAAGCAGGGGTGAGGTGCCCATGTATATTCACAGATGTTCCTTCCCCTATTAGTGATCCTGGCTGTCTACGCTTCTCATGGGCATGACCACGGGTTCAGTGCTCATGCCCATGAGAAGCATAGGCAGCCAGGATCCCTAATAGGGCGAGACTTCATATACTGAATTCCATAGGCATCTGTGTGTTTTATTCAGTGATGTTGAAATGTCACTCCCTGAAGTTGCAGAGTACATACATGTATACTTAATTACAACACATAAAATGGTCAAATATCTTTTGAGCTTTCCAACCACATCCCCATGCAAGTTCAGATATTTAATGTCAGTTAATATAACAATGGACAGATTTGTCTCATTAATGTGGATCCTCAACTTTGTCTGAAACTATCAAGTAGCATATCCAATTATTTTGATCAAAAATTTCCATCCTCCTGGCTGGGTGCAATGGCTCATGCCTATAATCCCAACACTTTGGGAGGCTGGGTCAGGTGGATACCAGAGGTCAGGAATTTGAGATCAGCCTGGCTAATGTGGTGAAACCTCGTCCCTGCTAAATGTACAAAATTAACTGGGGGTGGTGGTACACGCCAGTAATCCCAGCTATTCGGGAGGCTGAGGCAGAAGAATCACTTGAACCCAGGAGGCAGAGGTTGCAGTGAGCCAGGATTGCACCTACACTCCAGGTTGGGCAACAGAGTGAGTCTTGGCCTCCAAAAAAAAGTTCCATCCGTCTCATCCGTCTAATAAGAAACATCTTCAGCCATACATGTTATAAGTCAATTTGATTTATTCTATTTTTTGTTTACTATTTTTACCTTTTGTTTTAAAAAGTTTAATAACATCGATTTTATAGTTTACTATATCTCATCAAATCTAATACACCATTGATGTGTAAAGCACATTATTTTCCATGCCACTAAGAAGATGAGAAATGTTGCCAGTTATAATTGCTAGATGCCATTGATTGTAAGTTAATACCCCAGTTTCAGAGATATCAAAATTATTTTGTAAAGTGTGTCTCAAAGTTGACGAAACACAGTATATGTAATCTCTTCAACATTAGCAAGTGATACTTATATTTCATTGTTAGTAGCAATGTAAAGTTTCCCTTTTGAATAAATTTAATTTAAAAATGAGTTGATTTACGGTGGCTCAAGCCTGTAATCCCAGCACTTTGGGAGGCCGAGGCGGGTGGATCACGAGGTCAAAAGATCGAGACCATCCTGGTCAACATGGTGAAACCCCGTCTCTACTAAAAATACAAAAAATTAGCTGGGCATGGTGGC